TGTCTTCCTTCCCTAGGAGTGGGCATTAGGTCCAATTGATAATTAGCTGCTTGTACATACACTAGGCGAGCCACTAATGCACCAACAGGAACATATTTCTTCGCACACGGGGGTCCTCACTGAACAGGATAATGGGGGACAGTTCTCCCCCAGCCGTCTGCATAGCACCTTCTGGCACTATGAAAGCCACCCATCCAGTGGCAGGGAGCTTAGTCCAAGCTTGATTTCTCCCTCTCCTGTGCTCATATCATGCGGCGTCTTCAGCAATAGGGTCTTACCATCCACTTCAGATGTGCAACCAACATTATTGGTGATTGCCTTTATAGTTTCAGGGACCTCTGGGGTCCCTTTGGCCAACTGCTCATAGGGAGGCAACGCACCCCTGGTACTGGGATTTTCATTTAACAACCTTATGGCTTCTGGAAGGGCCTTTTTCCACCCCCGTAGCATTTCTTCTGGGCTTAAGGCTTTCTACTGTTCCTTTAACAACGCATTTTTTCTTTCAATCAACCCTGCTCCCGTAGGATTGTGTGGAAGGTGGAAATAGCATTGAACCTGATTATCCTCAGCCCAAGCTTGCACATCTGTACCTGTGAAATGAGTGCCTCTGTCGCTATCAATTTGCCTCAGGCACCCATACATGACACTGAGTTCAGTAGGCCCCTTAATAGTAGCCTTGCCCATCATGCTCTTGCAAGGAAAGGCCTGTGTAAGGCCTGTGGCAGTGTCCACACAAGTGAGAGCATATTTACACCCCTCAATGACTGGCGGTGCAGTATATAATCTTCTTGCCAGTCTCTCACAGGGGAAGCTGCCTTGTGCACGTGTCCCATCATGGCATCCATCCTCCAGGGCTGTAACCGAGAACTCACCTCACAGGCCTGGACAGCCTGTTGGATGTCAGCATATTTTACCAGAATGTTGACTACTTTGGCTCTTTTCCATCCTGTGTCGGCTCCTCTGTGGCCCGACTAGATATGAATCCAGTGAGCTGCTTCTAGGGGCACCTGAGGGCAGACAGACCTCACCTTGGTGAGGGCATCAGCTTCCTGATTCCTGGGGAGGGGGGGTACTCACCAGGCTGTGGGCAGCCACATGGTAAACTACCAGGGGCACTAGTTCCTCCTGCATTTTACTATATATGTCCTTCCACATTTGTTGTCCCCATAGTGCCTTTCCCATCACCTGCCAGTTTTCTTTCTCCCACTGAGCCACCCATAAGGTTAAGCCCTTGAACACAGCCCAACTGTCAGTACAAAGTGAAACTGGCCGAGGCTCCCTCATTATTACTATCCATACAGCTCTCAATTCAGCCCATTGACTGCTTTATCCTTCTTCCCTCTCTAACCATATAGTGTCAGTGTTCATGTGTATTGCCACTGCTACCCATTCTTGTCTGGCACCCCTGCTAGTGCCATCAGTGTACCAGGCATCAACTGGATTGGGGGAGCTCCTTCTAGCACTCGGTCAGGTTTGGTCTTGCTGGAGGGTCAACAGTAGAAGGTGGAGGGACAGGCTCTGTGCCTTGAAATGACAGCAGTCCTAGTACTGCTTGCATGGCATTGGTGATCGGGCTTGCTGACACCACCCCTTGCTGTTGCAAATATGCATGCCATCTTTGCAGCATTTGATTTTGTGCCACCCCTGACAGGGGCTTGGCTAACAGGCCCTCCACCCATCCTTTTATGGGATATGCAGTTTTTACAGTAATGGGGGTGGGGCCCGTAATGGACTCCACCTGCTGCAATGCTTTGTACACAGCCAGCAGTTGCTGTTCTAGAACTGTGTACCGGGACTCTACCCCTTTCCATGATCGGGACCAGAACCCAATTGGGATCATCTGTTCGGGTTGTTGTTGCCACAAGCCCCACCCATGATCTTCAGGGCTCCTGGTGACTTCCAAGAGGAAGGGACACTGAGGTATTGGGGCACACAGCTGCTTAGCTTGCCCAACCAGTACCTTGGCCTGCTCAAAAGCCTCTTGGGCCTTTCCATCCCAATCCCATGTAGCACCTCTTTATTAGATTATACAGGGGGCAGGTAACCTGAGCAAGGTGAGGTATGAACATTCGCCAATACCTGAGAAGTCCCAAAATACCTGTAACTGCTTATCGTTTATTGGTACGGGTTGTAAGATTTTCTCAACTGCCACACTGGGTATCATGTGAGTTCTGCCTGACCATAAAACTCCTAAGAATTTTACTACTGTACTGGGCCCTTGTACCTTCTGTGGGTTGATTTCCCATCCTCGCTCCTTCAGGTGCACTTGCATGTTCCCCAAATGAGCTTCCAAATCTGTTAGGCACTCAGAAGTCAGCATTATGTCATCTATGTAGTGGAATTTCCTTACAGAAGGAGGGCAGGGTAACAGGGCCAGGTCCCAGGCCACCGTCCCATGACAAACCATGGGGCTATGGCGGTAACCTTGGGGAAGTACTCTGAAAGTCCATTGTCGTCCATTCCACGTGAATGCAAATTGATCTTGGGATTCAGCAGCTAGGGGAATACTAGAGAATGCATTAGCAAGGTCCACCACAGCATGGAAGGACCCCATTTCCTGCACCAGCTGATCAGTTAGCAGTGCAATGTTGGACACCACTGCATGAATAGGAGGCATCACCTTATTTAACTCCTGGTAATCTACAGTCATTCTCCAGGAGCCATCTGTCTTTCTGATAGGCCAAACGGGGCTATTGTTAGGACCTCCATCACGATGTTGGACCATGGATTTTCCCTTTTCTTTGAATCAAAAATCAGACCTGAGGATCATCTCCCACTATCTCTAGGTCACTTCCTTCTTCCTTACTGCCCGGCTCTTCCCAGGGGTTCCAGGTTTTAGGATCCCAGGATGGGCCTTTTATTACTATTCTGATCTGGGCTCCTTTTCCCCTTTTGACCTCCTAGATGTAAAAAATGGCATGCCAACACCTCCATCTCTTTTTCTCTCTTACCTAATTTACTGGCAAGGTCAAAGGCCAGTACCGAAGAAACCAGTGTCATATCCCTCCCCCATTCTATTTCCTCTCTAACACCTTCAGTTTCCCTTCTGGCTAATGCCACCACCTGGGGCAGTTTTCTTATTATCAATAGCATCCAAGCAGCCTCTGCAGCTGCTTTTTGACCTTTCTGTCCCTGGTGTGCTATTCCTAGAGATTGCAGAATCTGTTCCAGACCTTCTTCTGTTTTCAGGGCCTCTCCATACTCACATGGCAGTCCCCACTGGTCAAGCAGGCATGCCACCCCATACCATCTACAAGATTGCTGCCACCCTGGATCTCTCCCATTGACCTTGACTGTTTAGAAGGCCTCACCCTAGTTACATATCTCACTGTCCACTGCATTAACCATGCCACTGCAGCCACCCCCACCAAGCCTATGGGAATGGCCCACCAGGTTAACATTTCCTCAGCCCACACTCTCTCCTCACCCCACTTTACTTTGGTTGTTGGTCTCTTTCCCTATATCAGGGACATCATCAACACTCTTCCAAAACACATTCTCAGTTTCATTGTATCCTGCCAACTACACCAATTGTAAGTCAAATTCACTGCTGGGAGGTGCACGTGGCATCCAGTCCCCTCCTCCCATGGTCTTTGCGACAACCTGAAGAAAAAATTCTCCAAACCCCAGTTTGAAGAATTTTAACGAGTTTATTGGACTTGCTAACTGAGCTTGGGGTGCAGCTTTTCTTACAGACAAGAGGGCACCCACCCCATTCATGGCTGTGTTCGAAAGTCCACACCCAGACATAAATCTGGTGGTTCCAGACAGCCTTACAACATGGTGAGAGACCAGCCTCATGGTTTTCCCAGCTCTTATACCCTTAGCCCCTCCCCTTCAAGCAGCTATGGTCAACTGATTGGCTGGAAGAGGGAAGGGCTTCTTTGCAGAGAATGGGAAGGAGGCGGGTCCATGGCTTGTCATCACAGGTTCAGAGTAACATCCGGGTCACAGGGAGAGAGAAGAGAAGGGAAAGGAAAATGGAACTGAGATTTCTTTTCCTAAGGAAGGAAAGAGAGATAGACAAATGGATAGATAAATGAAAAGGAAAGAAAGGGGGAAAAAGTGGGGAGGGAGAAGGGAAATGACAGGAAATGGAAATGAGATTTCTTTTCCTGACTAGGAAATAATATGATTCTGTGAAGGGTTTATGTGAATGACTCTATAAACCGATTGTGTGTAAACTCATCTGATTTAACAACAACAACAATAAAAAGTTATAAAACCCCCCACATTTTCCTCTTGGTTATATCACAGAGAAAACAGATTACAGTCTCTTCTTGGGTGTCAGTTACAGACTTTCCAGGGTTTTCAACTGTGGCCAACTTTGTGTCTCCATGTGCAGCGCTGCCGGCGAAGGCTACTGGTTTGTTTATGCTTTTCTTCCTATGAGATGGAAAGCTTATTTGAGAGCAGAATATAGATTGATGATGTTTCATACCCTTCTTTCTACTCGGTTAAGGTTTTGTGCATGGTTAGAATTCATTAAATTGTCAGATAGTTATATGGACTCAGTGAGGGTGGAGAAGATGGGGCTGCAGGGATGACTTGGTGGTTACGAGTACATTCTGTTCTTGCAGAGGACCAGAGTTCGATTCCCAGCACCCATGTCAAGTGGCTCATAACTATCTGTAACTCTAGCTCCAGAGGATCCAAAGGCCTCTTTTGTTCTCCAGAGGCACCCACACATGTGCATCCATGAACACATGCATACACACACACAAGCACACATATGCATGTAATTTTTAAAAAAAAATTGGGGGGGCTGGTGAGACAGCTCCATGGTTAAGAGCACTTATTGCTCTTACAGAGGGCCGAAGTTCAAGTCTCAGCACCCACATGATGGCAAACAACCATTGGCTCCAGTTTCAGGGACTCTGACACCCTCTTTTGGCCTCAATGGGCATTGCATGCATGAGTGCTTTTACATAAATAGAGAAGATGAGGCCTTTCTTGATGCTCTTTTCTGAATCTTCTTTGTTGTGATTGCTATCCCTTAGGACGGAAAAAAGAAGTTTGACAAGGAGAGTGAAAAATACTATTCTATTCTGGACAAACATTTGAATTTGTCTGCAAAGAAAAAAGAGTCTCATTTGCAAGAGGTAAGTGCTCCCATTTAAATGTAGAAGAATCATGGGCATTAAGTCATGTGACCTCAAAAATTCCCAACATGGCAAGTTCAAACCAGAAAACAATCCCAGAGTAGACAAGAGGAAGTGCATAAGAAGCCCCAACCCCCCAAAGAAAATGTGGCAACAGATGGCTGCTGGGAGGGGCAGAGACAGTCTGTCAAGCGTGGACTTTGTGGTAGGTTACCCAGGCTCCAGTGGACAACCCACACTGAAGGACATTTGGAGACACAAATTAGATTCTATAGCCTTACTAGATATATAACAGAGTACATTTAATTGGGCAGAGGGCAGTAAGGGACAGTAAGGACAGGAGAGGGGATCAAGTACCATCAAACTATATTGTATGAAAATCACAAAAATTTAATTTGAAAAAAATGTAAAAAAAAAAAAATTCCCAGCATGGAAGTAACCCCCAAACCTTCTACTTTTTCTTTTCTAATAAGTGAAAAATACTATTCTATTCTGGACAAACATTTGAATTTGTCTGCAAAGAAAAAAGAGTCTTATTTGAAAGAGGTTAGTGCTCCCATTTAAATGTAGAAGAATCATGGGCATTAAGTCATGTGACCTCAAAAATTCCCATTTTTAATAATAAATTATTTATTTTTATTTTATATGTATGGGTAATTTATTTATTTATTTTTATTTTATGTGTATGGGTATATTGCCTGCGTGTGTACAGCTGCACCCATGTTATGCAGTGCCTGGGGAGGACAGAGGAGGACTGGAGTTATGGACTATTGTGAGCGGTCTTGTGGGTGCTTGAGTTCCAGCCTGAGTCTTTTAGAGCATCCTGTGCTCTTTACCACTGGGCCATCTCTCCAGCCCCTGATACTTTTTCTTAAAAAGACAATAATGCTGGCAGGCTTAGTTGAGTAACTTTATATAGTATGGCAGTAGGTATTAATGTTTCAAGTATAAGATCAGTATTTATTTCAACAGTGAAAAAGGTTGAAACAAGACTTTTTCCTTTTCTTCTTGGATGTATTGTAAAGTGATACGATATATCAAGTTCATATTAAAGCCTTTAAATTAAAATTTAAACATCTGTGACATTGCTTTCTAAAGCTTTTGTGTCAGCAGTTAAAGGAGAAGGTGACATACAACTACATGTTCTAAAATCTCAATTATTTCACATCATTTTTAAAAAAGTGTCTTACCGCCAGGCATGGTGGTGCACACCATTGATCCCAGCACTTGGGAGGAAGAGGCAGGCAGATCTTTGTGAGTTTGAGGCTAGCCTGGTCTACATAGTGAGTTCCAGGACAGCTGGGGCAACAGGGAGACCCTGTCTCAAAAGGACCTGTGCTGTGCTTAAGACCTTGTACTTAAATATGTTAGATTTTGTTCTTGCTATTGGTCATCTAGTAACTGTAGTTAGTCAAGAATAGTCCTTAGACTAAGGTGGTAGAACAGTGACACTCCAGTTTCCGTAAGGAGTATTTCTTTGCCTCTTGTATCTTAGGAACAATTAAACTGTGAGACACAACTCTGCCATCTCCCAGAATATATGCAGTGGAGTGTGCTGTCGATGGGGGCTGGCCACTGTAGTCTATCTGGAGCTCGTTATAAATAGCCTCTGTGGGGCTGGAGAGATGGCTCAGTGTTAAGAACACTGGTTGTCCTTGCAGAAGACCTGGGTTCAAATCCCAGCACCCATATGGAAGCCAACAACCATCCATAACTACAGTTCCTGGGGATCTGACAGCATCTTCTGTCTTCCGCGGGCATTGCATGACATGGGTGTGCTTACCTACATGCAGGCTATACACTTATACACATAAAATAAAAATAATAAATAATTTTTTAAATGCCTCTGTGACCTCATGGAGTGCTTGGTTATGTGCTCACCCACTGTAGCCTCCCCTTCCTCCCCTCTGTGCTTCCAGAAACCTTTTAGCCATGCCATCCATGTCCTGCTCCTAGGAAATCTGCCTCCCTGTCTAAACTGCTTTTCAAATTGAACCTGGTCACTGCTCTCCACACTCTTTCTCTAAATGCCCATACTCCAAGTCCTGCCAGAACATGTGCTTGACAGCGTGGGGCACTTTAAGGTTACCCTGGTATAAAAAGGACTAGGAATGCTGGCCTTCTTTTTCAGCATGCTCATGTGCTCATTGAAGGCAGCCATTCTTCATTTAAAGTTGATTAAGGGGCTGGAGAGATGGATCAGCAATTAAGAGCACTTGCTGTGCTTGCGGAGGACCTGAGTTTGATTCCCAGTCCCCAATAGCCACTCATATCCACCTGTAACTGGAACTCCTGTTGCAGGGGATCTGGCGCCCTCTTCTGACCTCCTTGGGCACCTGTACACATATGGTGCACATAAACTTATGCAGACATATGCACATACACATAAAATAAAAAAATAAACAAGTATTTTTTAAAAGCTAACTAATATTAGTAAATTTGTTTTAATATCACATAAAATTTCATTTAAATACATGCCTTCTATTTTTAACACTCATTAAGGAAACAACACAATTTGTACAGGGTATGGTGGCACATAGTTTTAATTCCAACATTTGGAAGACAAAGGCAGGTGAATCTCTGTGAGTCTGAGGTCTTCCTGGTCTACATAGTGAGTTTGAGGTCAGCCTGGTCTACATAAAGAGTTTCAGGTCAGTCAGAGATACAGACACAGTGAGATCCTGTCTTAAAAAATAAAGCGTGATTTATTATATAATTGTGTGCCTATGGAAAACTTTTGTGGCCAAAGAGAAAGGAAAGACTGCCATTTAACAACACTAGATTCTTTTTTCAAATTTCTTTGGCATGTTTAATTTTATAAGGATTTATCACTGCTGTTACAATATAGTATTCTGTGTCATGTTTTAAATGCCTATGTTTCTCTTTATACATGGCAACAGAATAAGCCTTGGAGAGAAAGGTTGTAGTGTGGCTGTGGATGTGGTCGTGTGTGATAGGGGGCTTTCCCAATTGTTACCAGTGCCTCATGTCCGGTTCCTGCCATGTCAGGATCTTCAGATACACAGGCTTAGAGAGCTGCTTCCCTCCTTCTAGAACGTGACAACTGTTCCCACAATTTCAAATCCTCTGTAGGATGTGTTTCATTTTTCCCTGACAACATAGCTTGTTGCTTAATACTTTCCTTGCTAGTTGCCCTCAGTGCTTTGGGCTAGAGTATAACAGAGTATTGGTTTGGGTTCTGTGTTAGTTGGAGGCTGGAAAAGGTTTCAACATAGTTAGCAATGTTCTCCCATGTCACTCTCCAGTGCACAAACACACATTTGTTGTTGTTAGGAAGCACAGCCCCTAACACAACACAAGTTAATTTGGATTAAAGGTGTTCCTTAGGGTGTATAGTGTAGACAAGGAAAAACGTGGCTTGGAAGTTTCCCTCCTGTCCCCCCAGGAATCAAACCTGTTGGAGAGAGAAACTGCCACTCACGTGGCATTAAATGTCACCTGTTCTATCCAGAGCAGCTCTGGCCTCCCATCAGCACCTGGCTTATTAGCTGACTCTCAGGAAGCCCCTCCGTGCCTTCCCACCTCACAGCTGCCTTCTACTCATTTTGCTCAGGAAAAAAGTAACTGGCACTGCACTGAAAGGTCAGCTTGTGCTGACAAAGTTCCCAATGCCCCAGTGAATAATGGGAGAATTAGAGCCAAGCTTGTCAAGTCCACAGGCTTTGCAGTGGATGGAAAAAATAATATTTGGTTCCTTTCTTGGATAAACTAAAAGGACGAGATAGTAAAGGAAAGTAGAAAGATCTGAATGCAGAAAAATAAATTATTTCAAAAGACATCAAACCAAATTAAATGGCAAAGCATTAGGAAGTTTATACAACACAGAGCAGGGTTATCCTCTCATATAAGAAATATTTGCAAACTGGTGAAAAATGGCTAAGGATACAAGAGGAAGGCGACCAAAGAGGAGATGTAAGCTGTCATGAAGATTGTTTCCATGACACACGTATTAAAAATGCAAACTCTCAGATGTCATTTTTAATAAAAGACAAAAATCTATTATTAGTGAAGGCATGAGGCTCTCTCTGGGCATGCGTTTGTTCTCCCCATAGAACATAAAAATACTGAATATTCTTCATATAAATCTTATGCCAGCAAACATAAAATGTACCAGGCAGTTGACATTATTTCTCTTGTTAGGACTTTGTCCCCCATAAATGATCAGAGCACCTGCACTCCCTTGCACAAACATACATAATTAAAATTTAAAATTAAAAGAGGATAGTTGGATGGGGCTGGAGAAATGGGTCAGTGGTTAAGACCTTTGGCTGCTCTTGCAGAAGACCCAGGTTCAGTTCCCAGCACCCATGTGGCAGCTAACAACAATCTGCTAACTCCAGTTCTAGGGGATCTGATGCCCTTTTCCGGTCTCCTCAGGCATTGCATGCAGGTGGTGCACCTACATACATGCAGGCAAACACTCATACACATAAAATAAAAATAAATAAAAATTTTAAGGGGGAGTGGCTGGAGAGATGGCTCAGTGGTTAGGAACACATATGGTTCTCATAGAGGACCTGAGTTCAGTTACTAGCACCCATGTCAGGCAAGTCGTAACTGCCTGTAATTTCATCTCCAGGGGATCTGATGCCCTCTGCTGGCCTCTGTGGCCACCTTTGTTCCTGTGTACGTAGCCATATATATGTATATAAAACACAAATATACATAATTAAAATTAAAATAAAATCTTTAAAATAATCATCAGAAATGAGTTTATTGAGTGTGTGACTCATATAAAGACAAAATACCCACAATACAAACATTTACAAACATCTGAAATGGTATAAAAAATGATTAGGGTAAATACACATAACGTAACTAAAAATGAATTGTGTACAGCTGTTACTTTTTGAAGGTGGTGTTGTGGGCTGGGGTGATGTCTCAGAGGGTAAAGGGCCTGCTGCCCAAGTATAAGGACCTGAGTTTGCATTCCCAGCACCAGTTCTTTAAAAGCTGGTGTGGTGTCGTGTACCTGTAAC